ACACAGAAGACTAGGCGACTTGGAAGGCGCTGAACAGACTGCACTCTGGCACCATGAGATGCAGAGCCAATCTTAAGAAATGGGGCTAAAAGTTGAATCCACTACATGCGAGTGTGGAGAAGAGCAAACCACTGACCACCTGCTGCAATGCAACCTGAGCCCTGCCACATGCACAATGGAGGACCTTCTTGCGGCAACACCAGAGGAACTCCAAGTGGCCAGATACTGGTCAAAGGACATTTAATCAGCTACCAAGTTTGCAAAATTTGTGGGTTTTTTATCTGTCTGTTTGTTTTGTTCTGTTAGAAATGTAATACAATGTTCTGGTTGCGGATGACACGATAAATAAATAAACAGCCAAACAATTTAGACTTTGCATAACCTATGTGGAGGAGCTTGCATGCATAAAGCAAAATTATCAGTATTTTTTTTCACTGATGCAAATGCATATTAATACCATGCTGTTAAAAAATATAATGTCCCTGGGTACCAAGAGATCCAATGCAGCTTTTAAAATTTTAGTACTTTTCAAATGCATTTGATATAAAAAATAAATATAGACCACTGCTGAATTCCACTCTAGCAGGTATTTCACTGCATTTCACACTGTGACTTAAAATTAAAGCCTTCAATTTTCCTCACTTAAAACATTTTAATTTTCTTTGAATTGTAACATTTCTGGAGGGAGATGTTTAGAATCCTATTGGTGACATACACTGGGGTAACTGGCTTCCCATTTATCCAGTACATGGTCTTTTTCTATTCTTGTGGAAAGAGATACCCAGTATCTCCCTGTGAAAAACCACCCCCAACACACCACATATGCAACCTCAGCTTAACATCACTGGGACATCCTATCATGACCCATCAATGGTGTGCATGCACGCCATTGACGGGTCATGGGAGTATATCCCAGTGATATCTCGCTGATATACATCTGATTTGTCCAAGTGTGCAAACATGTCCTCTTCCATGTTTGTGCTATCAAGCATTCATGACCCACATACGTGAATTATTACAGGTTAGCCCGGTATACAAATCTTTTGACTGCCTCAGTGATCTAACCCCTTCCATTCATTTTGCCAGGCCACATGGCTTCTGGGTCAGACAACATTCCTCGGACAGCTATGACATGGAAAATGCTATAGTTCATGGCACTGAATTGCTGCTCCATTTCCTCACTGGAGGTCCTTATACTGATCTCTTTCTCTGCTCCCCCCAGCCATTGTGGTTGAAAAGAGTTAAGAGAACACTTCTGAGAGCTAAAGCTAGCTAAATAAAACCAACATCATAACCACTTCTGGCACTTAATTTCCTCAGCTGTTGCAAAGCCACGATATTTCCCAAACACACCAACTGTGTTTAGATTGGCTTGGGCTTTAATAATGGGCACTGAGAATAGTGGTATGAAATCATGATAACTGCATGTCCCTAAAATTGGGGGGTGGGGATGTGGAGGGAAATAAATATTTCCAAACCAACATCTTTAATTGATTATAATTCTGTTCTGTTTCCCTGATGTTATGCCAAAAAAGTTTTTAAAATATTTCAACAAAGAGTGGAGCGCTATTTGCTTCCTTCAAAAACTTAGCTGCGGGAAAGGAAATCATCTTTCATTTTCTAGCCTTAAGAAAAGTTCAGTCTGTATGACCTGATTAGCATCACTATTTCACCACAGATGATTTAGTTTCCAAGAGAACAATCAATACTAACAAGATTATATTATACTATTATAGGCAAGAGTCATAATGGCTTTACAAACGTAATCTAAACATGGTTGTTATTTAATGCATGTATATCTTCCCTAGAGTAGCTGACATATGGTACACAAAGTCACAAACTAAGGGTCAGTTCTGATCCCTACCTGACTATTTATCACATCCTTTCTGATTACCGTTTGTGACTGATTTCATATTCTTAATAATTTTAGGCAGTAATGCAGCCTAAGATTTTTAACACACACACACAAGGAGTCAGCTCCTTTGATCTCACTTTTAAGGGAAACAGCAAGCAATATGACTGGGCAAATTAAAAATACCTTCTCCTCCCACCTCCCCCCAAAAAAGAGAGAGCACGGGATAGCTAACTTTTAGATCACATCTTCCAGAATCTCACAACCAACATGGTCATTGACCATGCCAGCTGAGTATCCTAAGTTGTGCAGTCTAAATCAAACTTTCTTTTGTGGAACCCTAGGGTACTGCAAAAGTATCATAGGGCTTCCGCAAAAAATCTTAAAAGTCAAATGTAAAACTGATTTTAAAATAAAACCACATGAGGGGTACTTTCCAGGCACCAGGAAGGTCACTGAGTGGGCGCAAAAACAAAATAAGCCTCACATGTTGTCTATTCCAGAGTATGAGGATCTTATTGAAATTCAATGTACCTCTGCTCTCAAAACACTGTGCCACTGAATGACTTCTGGATAGGACTGATAGACACTGATAGACACATACCTGTCAGTAGCTAGAAAGGCTACCTGAACTCTGCTTCACCATCTATGCGAATCAGACTTTTCAGCTTATGCTTACACCATAAGTTGGATGCCACCCCGATTTACATACAAATGGGGCTGTTGGACATAAAGCCCCATTTCAAAATTATTTTAAGTACAAAAATGAAATAATTTCATTTGTCACATTAGGTGTGAATCCAATACCACAATAAAGGTTTGATTTTATATATAAAATATTTTCTCTTTATTTACAAATTTATACAAAACACATTCCCCAAATAGTAGTAGATGAAAGAAGGAAGAACTTTGTGGGTCACAATGTTATAAAAGCTCTAAATAAATAAATAAACAATAAATAATGTTTAGTAAAAATTAATGTTCCACAGGAAAAAAAGGTCTTCTGAAGGGTTTCATGACTACAATGTTATGAGGTCCTTAATATACATGTTGTTCTTTTGATCCATGTGTTTTTCAAATCTGATCTGCCAGTGTGTAAGTTTCTATAGCACATCATTAAGACTCCTACGAGGAAACACCAAAGCTTTGACAATGAAACACCCATTTCATGCTACATGCAGATTATTGGTCCAGCAAGGGGAGACAATTTCATATTGCATGATGCATTGTGAGAATAATCCAAACATCACTCTTAATATTATGAAAGACACCCAAATCTATACACAGGTTGCCCTTGCAAGAATGGGCAACTTGGAAGTCCCTGAACAGACTCAGAAGTGGTGTTGGTAGATCAAAAGAAAACTGACTAAATGTCACTACCTAGATGAACCCTCCAACTTGTCCGACTGAGGAGCAGAACAAACAACTCAGCACCTGTATGCTTGCCCACAATGCCCTGTCTCATGCACAGAGGAATATGGCTACAGACAATGTGGTCACCGTTGCCCAGTTTTGGTCTAAAATTATTTAGCCGCATGTGTTCCCTCTATTTTATCAGTTTTGTACTAATTTATTTATGCAATGCTTTTGACACAAAATAAAGATGTGGCCCAAGAGGGACAAATTTGAGTTAGCTTCAAAAACAGGATGTGAATATTAGGGTAACTGATTACCTCTGATCCTATCACTTTCCCCTTTTGTTTTCACCCCACATGCCTCTGGTGCACTAATGCGCAACTCTCCCAGAAATGGGGGAGGAGGAGGACCTGCAAAGCAATTTGCAGTCAGGTTCTGAGGTTAGTGTAATCACCTTTCTCTCAATCATAGTAATCTAATTACCCCCACAACAAAACTGATTTTTCCCAAACTAGTTCCAGTGTCACTATAGAAAAGTCCCATGATTCTGTGCAAAGATACTTTCTGGTTTTCAGGCAGTAGCTTGGCTTATCTCCTATCCAACATGACTTAAGTGGGGAGGAAGTTCTCCATACATTATACATTGCCAGCCCACAACTGTTCTGACCCTATATCATACTATCCAACAGCTGGAAGACAAGATGATAACGCACACAACTTTTCCCTCCAATGAAGCTGCTTTCCTCCTCCCCTTCCTTTTCTCTCCACCTGCTCAGCAGCAGTCTAATAACATCATAAAATATGTATACATTCAGACTTGTAAGGAATAATACAAATGAGAAGCAGAAAAGCCCTGCAAGGTCAGATCTGCAATATTCTTACACCAGCAATTGAAATGAAGTTTTGTGTATTTTATTATGTGATATTTGGCTTAGGCATAATCCTTTATTAGACCATTGAAAAGGGCTATAATTCAGTTATTTTAACATGCATATTTTGTGCTGTGCAGTAACAATAAACACATTTCCCCGGAGAGGGGATTTCTCACAATGCATTCTATGGGTTGTATTTGTTTCGGTATGTTTTTATTATGCTCATTATTTCTATTTATTTCTTCATATCCAGGGTCACAGTAATCTAAGCAGCTTTTCCTTAGAACAATTACATAACTACTAATTGTTATGTTCTGTGAAAATAAAGCTTTGGATTAGAATTCACAGGCACTGTCTTCTCCTTCTTAATTTCTTTAATTAAGTCAATGCTTAATAGTTTCATTTTACAAAGAAGGTGGTAAAGACATTAATTAATAGAATCCCAGATGAAAAGAAAAGCAAAGATACACATAATGAACCATTATAAACAGGAACAGACATTATTCTAACCCTATTCACACCAAACAATCAGCAAGGGCACACTCCATGAGCCTTTCAGGGGCAGTGAGACAACATGGCTTAGGCCAATGACCTGAACCAAAACCTAGCATAAGCTCCAGGATCAGAAACCTTGTGCCCAGAGCTATGGTGTGCTCCAACAACATACAGATTTGATATTCCACACTTTTGTCAACTTGACCATACTCTGAAGTTGGTTGGCCACATGTATTCCTGTGATTTTTGGTCTTCAAAACAACTGCTTTCTGCCATGCTAAAGTATAATATCCCAGAAGATAACAAATGAATGGAATGTGTGACAGTTCCTTACTCCTTCCCTTCTTTTCATTCATGCCTATTATTTAACTGCAACCTATTGTTTTAACTGCAATCATAAAAGGATATGCCAGTCAATTTCTTACCTTTCCTGGTGCACACATGGTTCCATCTAATGGAGGTCCTTTCTTTGTTTTGCAGAAATAAGGGTTATCAGGGTGGCTACACCATAATTGTTTGCAGGGATCAAAGGTACGGAACTAGAACAGAAGGATTTATTGTCAAATTAATTTGGATCCCCCCTCACTTACATAACATGCCACAAAGGTACAATTGGCAACACAGTGACATAGTGGGGTAATGGTGTTAGATTCCAGTAATGAGTGATTGCTGCCTCCAAGTCTTACTGTGGGTGTATTTACACTACAGAATTCAGCTTGATGTCATTTTAATTGCCTTGGCTCAATGTTAGGGAATAATGAGTGTTGTAGTTTTACAAGCTCTTTAGCCTTCTCTGCCAAATAATATTAATTCCATAGTATTCCACAATATAGAACTGCAACAGTTAAAGTGGTATCAGGCTGAATTAATTCTACAGTGTCTATGCACCCTGTGCCACTGTGAAAATAAATTTTGGATGAAGAAAGCCACAGTGCTGCTTTAATCAAGCTAGGATAAAAAGCGGCTCATAAATAAATACATTTTACAGATTAAACTATTCTAATTTAGGGTAAAATTTGTGAAATGGTCCCACAGAGCATTACATGATTTCCAGAAGTCACTGTGGACCCAGAAGTATAGTAATGTTATGTACCAGAGAGTATATAAGAGGATAAACCCAGCCTGTCTCTCATTGTTGCCCGACAAGAATCATAAGCATGCCAGTTATCATGAACTCTGTGCTACTCCATTCAGTTCTACATGTCCAGTGCCCTCCTATGATAGTGGCTAGAGCCTATAAACAGGCAACTGGATGGCGCGCACACAGAAAAGTCACCAACAGGACCATATATGAGGAAGGAAGACAATTTTCCATGATTCATCTTATCCCAGATCTGTTTGGAGGGACTTCTAAATATTGCAGGAGGTGGTCTGGAGTCTTTATGATTGCGCACCATGGGACTGGAGAGCAAAAAACCAGATTTCACTTTGGAAGAGACAAGTATAGGTTTCTTAAAGCTCTAACAGTTCTGAATTAAGTCATCCAGTTCCTGGCAAAGACTATTTTGGTGGCTGTGTCTGAATTCCCTTTCCAAGAAAGGCCTGTCTCAGATATTCATTTATAACTTTCTCAATGCTGATGAGAAAAACATTCTTTTTTAAAGGAAGGCATTTAGCCCACATTCAGGCTGGTTAAGGCACACACATTCTGGCAGTGCACACACCCAGAGCCAGTTCCTATGGGTGTCTGCAATGCCTACTCAGGTAGCCCAAGCATGTGGGATGGCTGTACCCTCCCACTCTCTCTGTCCCTGTCATGGAGTGCCCCGCTTCCATGGAGTGCCTTAACCTGGTATAGTCTCTGTTCCCAATGAAAATCCCACCGTATTGCAAGATAGAAAACTGCCAGCATTTTTGTGATTGCAAAAGCAAGGGGTACTCCAAAATATTTGTATAACCTGCATCAGAAAACATGTTTATGGGACAAATAATTTATTTCAAGTAGTATTTTCTTTTGAAGAAAATAATGTAATTCACATAACCAGTCAACCACCTGGATATGGCAGGTGACCAAGCCTTAGAGACACTGTTTACAACTCTTCAGGTGACCATATAGTAAAATGCCCACTTTGCAGTGCTACCTGTCTGTAAATCTGCAACAAAATATGACTCTGGGGGATTAAAATGTCACATCTGCCTGGATGGAGTTTAATGAATAACTTCAATTTGATGTTTTAATGAGTCTTACTCTAGCATTCTGTTAAAAATTGTGCTGTAGTTTTTGCTGTGTGTTGTGTATCGGATATTTTAATTTGGATGAATGTTTTAAATTGTTAAATTATTGATGCATAAATAATCTACAACTCTTTAGAAACATGTCTGTGCATAAATATTTTAAAATAATACATTGTCCTCAGAAGAGATGAATGAGATGCATAGAGTGGTTCTACTCAGACACATAATGTGACCCAACAGAAACACCCCAAGCTGCCTTGGTTGCAGAAGGGTATCCCTACTATCTAGCTGTGTTGAAGTTTGTTTGGCATCACTAGGCAGAGGCCCAATTGCCACCCCTCTCTGCGATGAGCAGGTAGCTCCTCTCGGTTGCTGCTGTACCTGGCAGTGACAGGGACAGAGAGAGTGGGAGGGCACAGCCATCCCACATGCTTGAGCTACCTGAGTAAGCATTGCAGACACCCATAGGCACTGGCTCTGGGTGTGTGCACTGCCAGAACACTAGGCACATTCACCTCTCTGCACGATGATCCTTGATTTATCTATGGGTCATATCAAAATCCACAATTTTGATTCCAAAATCTGCTCGCAGTTAATAGATAAGGTCAACTTATCAAGCATACATATGTTTATGTCCTGCTTCCAGGCTGCCCAAGAGGTTAGTCTATGTGGGAAGGGGATGCTGGATTAGACAGACCTTTAATTTGATGCAATATGGACTTTCCTTTGTTTATGTTTTTATACAATCCAGACTGAAGACTTACACAAGCAAGAGTTGGAGTTACTATAGGAATTATAGTAATGCAATGAAATATGTCTTTTTAGCACATTCATTCAATTTTCAAGCAGCTCTAATAAAATTGTGTAGGGCTATTGGCCATCAAAGAAGCTTTGACTTATGGTGACCCTACAAATAAGATACTAATTTCTGGGATTCTGATTCCAAAGATAGAATGCTGACATTGTTTTTAGTGACATCTCTGCATGTGTTATTCCACTTTTGTATTAGTTGGGCACATTGCCCTCCTCTTGAGGCTCTGATGTGAATGGCGATTTTAGGGACAGCTGGAGAGGCCCTGGAAGCAGTACAGCAGAACTTGGTTAAGTACTCACAGCTGTGCACATCATGTAGCCCAGACCAAAATCGAAGCGGCACTGTTCGTTCATGGAGTAGTGGATTCCTGGCAGCTGGGGAAGGGAAGGCCAGTCGTGGTCAAATGGATCATCACGTAAACAATCATATGAACTGCAGCAGGGGAAAATTACAGTCACAGATGGAATGTGAGACATTTACAGCATGTGGGGTTTCAGTTCACAATTATTCCAAGCAAAATAAAGGGCATGCTTTCTCAGAAATGAGTTCACAAAACACAGCACAGTTAATACCTAAGTTACTCTGGATGTAACATTCAAACTAACAGATTTACATCAGAGACAGGACAAGAGTTTGTCTGCTGTTACATCAGCAAATCAGACAGATTTTTGTTTTATTGTACCAAAAACCCAAGAGAGAAATCTGAAAAGAATAAATTAGTTGTAAAAAGAGGGATTATTCAATTTCCCACTTTATAATTGCTTCTAGTATTTTTTTTAATTAGAATAACCTGTCTGGCTGATGAGTTAATTGATGTGATTTCCATTCCTTTTTTTACTAAAAAAAACCCCCAAAACAATAATAGATATACATTTTATTCAGTATGTTGGAAAACATTTCATCTGCTGATTTGCATTGATTTGCTATTGCTGTACTTGGTTATGGATGGGTTCTGAACATTTTGTAATATGCATGTAAAATATAGGGACAATGACAAAAGTATGTGTTACATTTTTTCTGCAACATTTTTGCCAATGGTATTTTCATTAAGGCAATGTCTTCAGACAAGATTCTTGGGGGCTCCGGCATCTATATCCCATCTCTATTCACTAAGGTACTGTGGACTTTGGGGAGTCTGACATTTCACTCTGTTATTGTGAAGTATTAGAGCTTTTTATGTCACACAGTCATAACACTGAGCTGACTGACATCAGAGTTTGGAGGAAGGAAAGCCCTTACATCAGAGTATCCAGAGCATCCCTGGGTAGAAAGCTACAAAGACCACAAGCAGAAATCTTGGAATGTGGAATAAAAATACTATTTAAAAAGCTAACTGCGAAATGTTCCCTGAAGACCTAGTATGCACAAAAGAGCATGAAATATTTTTCAAAGACATATGTTAGCTTGTATTCACTATACAGTAGAGAAGGTCCTGAGGGAATAATGAAGATGCAAGAAAACTTTGCTTCACCAACTGTGTTTCCAAATCTGCATTTGATGTGGTAATATCTATGCAGGGATTGATAACATTTGTAGAAAAGAAATGCTGCTTAGTCCTTCCAATGCCCATCAAATCTCCTTTGTGAATATCCTAAGACATGCATACCACATGGTCTATTTTGAGTATTACAAGTTTGCTGGAGGACAAGAGAAGAACTAAAACTTTCCGTCTTACAAGGAAGAATTGGAAAGTGTGACAAGGATTAAGCAGCACCTCTATCTCAATTATTTTTTCCTGCATGTGCCCACTTCTGCACCTGCATTTGAATTAAAAGATAAATATGGGAAACTTTATAGTCCACTTCAACATGGGCAAGATCTACAGATCTTCACAAGTATAGAGGAGTATGATAATGTGAAGACATATTCAGTGATGCAGTCATGAAAGTCTTCATAGCTAAACATGAACAAGACAAAAAATTGTAGGTGGGTTTGCTTCTTTTTGACAGAATATCAACTTCTAGACTTAGAATTATTCCTGAATATGTGATGTATCTGCCTCTGGTCTCCAAGGGAACCAACCTGGCCCTAATTACCATCAGCTTGTTACATTTTATATCAATTGATGTAATATGTTGCATGCAGATGTAATCTTGAAGATGGTCTACATACAGCCATTCTCTTATCAACAGTGCACTTACTTGCCAGGCCTAGTTCAAAGTGTTTGCTGTGACCCTTGAAGGCTGAAAGGGAACTGGAATATCTATGGTCACATTTCCTTTCATTCCAACCTTTCTGGCAATTGGAGCAATTTTGCAATGAAAACTTGCTTCAATTAACTTTGTTACATCTGGTTAAACCTACAGTATCCAGTGTCACCAGCTGATGCTTCAGAACCATCTTCAAAATCAGCCCCATGTAGTGCATATTATACTCAATTCTCATTTTTACCAATGCTCAGGTCACAATGACAAGATTTTCATATACCTATATCACATCTTCAAAAGATGGCACCAGCCATTTTGTAAAAAGTGAATTATTTGTATTCAATAAAGAATCTTACAGGATTTTAAAAAACCATAATTATTCCTGATATTTTAATTGATTCCTGTTGGAGGCCAGACACTCATTTATTTACTTAAAGAGAATTGAGGGGGAGCTTACAGTAAAAATGTCTTTTTAAACAGAACCCCCATCACATTTCCCTACAGAAGCAAGCTCCCTTTTGTTCACTGGGGTTTAGAGATAATTACGGTAGCACAGGACTGCAGCCTTAATTTAATTTTTTTATGATCTTTCTCCCCTAAAGGATGTACCCAGCTTTCTAACAGCACCACTTGTTCTTTTAACTCCAAACTCTACCAGGAGATAAAATGATCATATACAAACATTTTCCTAAGAGCAAAACCCCCAAACAGTAGATTTTGTCCTTCATAATACTCACTGCAAGTAGCGATTCAGTTCCTGTTGGCTACATCGGGACCAGTGAAAGCGATGAAATGCCGCCTGGACAAGGGGAGCCATGATGCTTCCCATTCGGACTTCATCCCCACATCTGTTGCCTTGGCCATCATGCTCCATGCCTAATCTAGAGGGAAAGGCAGCATAACAAAGCCTGTTTAAGAGTACATGAGTCTCATGGCTGCCACCATATCCCCAATACGTGTTGGGAAGAGGACATTCCCAATTTCCTTTTTCATTTTATGTAGCTCACGAAATTGCCAAACTGAGCTTTTCTTTCCTCTGCCTTCAGTGTGCATGAGTTCCCCTCCCACTTGCCAATCATCTCCAAATTATCTCCTTGCTGGATTCAATATTTCATGACTTTTCACATTTTGCACTAATTTCACTCTTTTTGCTCAAGTTCCTTTATTTTCTACTGATTTTGTTGGTTTGTGCATTAAAAAGCTACATTGTTTTATGTCACATTTTTACAAAGCCAAAATTGCTATGCTGTTGGTGACGAAGATACACAGACCAGTTTGTTTTTCCATAGGAACAAAAAAGTGTCATAGCAATACAATAGTGATAACTAACAATGTATTTCAGAGAGAAGAGCTTCAACATCCTAATTTCTCAGTGTAGAGAACCAACCAGCTGTTCATTGTCATTCTTCCACTGCAATTAGTGGAGCCACATAATGACGTAGTACCTCTGGATCAAAATGAAGGTCTGCAATGCTACTTACACATGTCCAGTCTCATGGGCTACAACAAACGCTGAGGAGAAGCCATCTTCATGATTAAGTGTGCAACTTCGGACTGGGTGGCACATGCCAGTAACGGGAGCATAGCCTGTATAGAGAATGCAAGGTTTTGAGATATTAGAATAGAGGTGAAATAACTGCTTAAGGGTACCAGTCAACAGTGATATTTCAATCAGAAATCTTTTTGAAATGAAGGAAAAATGCGAAATGGAAATTTTGTCCTGATGAAAAACTCAACAACTTGTATTAGGTGTGGGGACAGGCCATTTTTATCTACTAAAAATATGCATTAAACTACAACATTCTTGGGCAAGAAAATAATAATTAAGTGAATAAAATAAATTATCATAGCCAGAAAAAATGTGTAAATTTTAAGGTCCAAAGTATCTGCAGCACAAAGCCAGGGAAACAAACAGGATTCTGAAAGAATAAATACAAAATGACAATTAGTTCATTGAGACAGTTTTATAAATAATTCCTTCTATCTAGTGATCAGTTAAATTTGGAAAACAGAAAAAAGCACTGAACTATACTTTTAAATCATGTTTTTATAAGACTCTCTTCAAGAGATAATTAGCCTTAGTTCAGACATAGTACTTTTGAAAATTCTTATGTACAATCTATTTTCTTCAGTTAGAATTGTACTTGAATAGTTATCATTCATTCCAACTGAAAAAAAATTAAACTCTGTTTCCAAAAGTACTTGCAATGTATTTTGGCCAGTGCATGAACTTTTATGGTTTCTTTGGTTTGGCTAATAATAAGAAGAAAGCATCCTGACATGTCTTTGAAGCTGAAAATTCAATTTAGATTGAACCAGTCAGAAACAAGTTCCGAAGGCCAACTGCAAGAGAAACAGCAGTGGTTCGAATGTTCCCTCTGAAAGCAAATATCAGCAGGTTTTATTCCATTGATTGAATGCCAGATGGATAGCCATGGTAGTCTGTTGCAGCAAAAACAACAAAAGGCCAAGGTCCAGCAGAATCTGCAGTCTAGCACACTCGGGAATTTTTTTGCCTTCCTTTCCTTAGTCCTCCTGCTACATTTCTCCATGCTGACAAAAACATGCTGGGTTTCCTAGCCCACCAAAAATGAGTTTTTACATTTAATTTATAGCCAAGAAAGCCAGCATGGTGCAGTAGTTTGAGCATTTGATTATGACTCTGGAGAACAGGGTTGCCATAAGTCCACAATTATTTGAAGACACACAACAAAATTGATGTCCATCAAGTACAAAACATATAAAAAAATACAGAGATTAAAACTCAGAAAAAATTCAAATGGTCTTAAAGTAATTTTCTGAACAATCCTTAAAATAGTTTTACTATAATTGAAACAGATTGGATACAGACACAAAAGGCCCTACAGAACAGCACTATTTTGTTGCCTACCAGAAGCAAATAGCAGGTGAAGTTTGCCAACTTTGCTTGATCAGGATATCTGCAGTCAATGTGCTGACACCCAGGAAGCTCTACCATGTGCATGCATTAGCCTAACTTACAATCTCATCACACGAGGCCAAAACTGGCAGCATGCACCAATCTAGCCCCAGTCACCCATGGAGCTGGCTGGCTCCCATTAGAGGGCATTGTGCTGGCTCTGTGGGCAAAGGAGGGAGCAGAACCAGCCCAGTGCTGCCATGGGGGGAGGAGGGAGCTGCGTGCTCCACACACACACCATGCTTCCTCCCCATGGGATCAACAGCTGCAGGAGCTGGGCAATGTGGGGTGAGGGGTGGCGGCTTCCCCATGCCCCACGGTGAAGTGAGGTTAGCCTTTATGGGTGGCTGTGTGAAGAGGCCATTAGGCTTACTTGGGTCAGTATAGACTCATATAATGCAGTTTAACTGCATTGAACTATATTTTATGAGCCGACATTGACCATATCATGCAGTTTCAAATGGCATTATGTGTCAGGATAGATGGGGCTCTAATGAGGCACTCATTAGGCTTCTGTTAAAGTTCTCTCATTTTAGGCCAGCTCATACAGGTTGAGGCAATCTTTCAGATATCCCAAACTGTTTAGGGGTTCGAAGGTCAAAACATGCACCTTGGATTTAGTTTGAAAGCAAATGGAAGCCAGTGCAGTATAGTTTCAGATATGTGTTTAGCACAAAGAGAAATTGTTAGCAGCATAAGCATTATGATCCAGTGAGCCACTAAATGTTCATCACTGGATCTAGCTAAACATCTTGTGGTAGCTTAAAGCACAAAATGTTTATTATAGCAATAAGCTTTCATGGAATACAGCCCATATTGTCAGATAAATACAGTAATTTACAGGTATATGTTGAGTTAGAATATGTGTAGATGTTTTGGACTACCTTTTCCAAAAGCCCTAGTGAGCAGAATCACTGCTATGGTGCAGATTTTAAGTTGAAATGGGCTCCAGATCACAAAAGTGTATACCATCATGGATATGTTAAGCCTTTAAGACAGGAGTGGGTAAAATATGGCATGAGGCTGGATGCAGAACCTAACCCTCCACTATTCCAGCTCCCTCCATTAAAAAAACCAATATTGCATAAGCCCAAGGTGTCCTGTGGGCCAATGTTGGGCTTCTTTGTGTTACATTTTGAGCCCCCTTGCCTGCTTTATGGAGCAGAGAGGAAGAAGTTTTCCACAAACTAGAAATCACCTCCAGTTACTTGTGGACCTAAAACTAGCCAGAGAGGACTTATTGACAAGGTGAAATTCCCTATCCCTTGCTAAGTCATGTGCATAGTATGTTTTAAGGTATCACAGAATTCACTTCCACTGTCTGGTGAGAGGAATGTGATCCTGTTATCAATGATCACATTTGTAAGAGAGAATGCCTTTTAGCACAGAACATACCTTGCATGCCAGAAGGGCCAAAATCCTGCCTTGTGAGGAAAATGGCATGATCATGATATTCTGCATGTCCGGTGTCAGGCTTCTGTTGTAGGTAGGCCCAGCGACACACATTCTCTAAACTCTGAGAAGGGTTACCGATCTCAATTAAACTCATGGACTAAATCAGGCAAAGTAAATAGAAAGAAAAGGAAGAAAGAACACATTGGTTACAATGCAATTTTAGCCAGCTTGTCTCAGTCTAGAGCTTATGACATGTATGATTTTGTTCCAGTGCTGGGTTATGGTTCCATTATAGTAATGCTACAACAACAAACTAAGGCCTTAGTCTAAGCCCACTTATTTGTGGGCAGGAGTAATTTGTTCCCTATTGACTGTGGTGGTATTTAACTCATAAGTAAACAGAACTGGAGCTGATATAACATAAAAAAAAACATAAATCTCCAATTTGGATACCTTTTGACGCAGGAATCTAATTTCCAAGAAGTTGTGTGGGATTTAACATCCCAGAAAGTGGAAAAACACCACAACTAAAGGCTGTACTATCTTTTAAGTTCAGAGTTACCAAACAATGCAAAGAGGAAGCCACATGAAATGAATATTGTATTTTGGCCGCTTTGCTGAACACACTGGCATGGGACAAAAGGCAGCTTCTTTTGCAATGTTTTTGTACTCTGGTATGCATTTCGAAATGGAAAATTAGAATATACACATGGCACATCAGTTGTGAAAAGCACAACATCTTTTATTTCTGGTTCATACTTTTAAAATTCAGAGAAGTGGGCCAGAGTGGAATATTGATGCACCTCCTCCACATTTTAAAGGTTAGCAGCAGTAAGAACTTAAGGTAAAATATGCCGGTATTTTTGATCCCACTCTTTTGCCCTCCTCCCAATCTCTGGAATGCACCCAAGGATCACTCTGAAATTCAATTTAGCCCTCAGGCTAAAATAAAATGT